ACTATTGGTATTAAAAACTATAATAGGATCAAGTGTAATGCGTTTATAATTGATTCATGGATACAACGACTTTGTAATGAACTAATATGTGGAATACTTCGACGTATTGGCAGTAATTTCAGTTTACAAATGGATAATATTATCATTATATCTTTTTTACATTGAATGCTTCTTCCAGTAACTAAACATGTATGATGTATATGTGTATGTATGAGCTTGCAGTTCATATTGACGTTTGTTTATAAATTCATACTTTTTATTGCAAAATACTTTAGAAATCTTAATGTGGGATAAAAATCTTTTAAAATAATTATTTCATAAATAAATTTGTACATAATGATAAGAGTGACAATATTCATAATCCATAATTAGCCTAAATATGATAACGAGAGACAGTAAATAAATTAGACTAGACAATACTAAGTGTATACTTCACTTTATTTAAATTGTGTATAGGAATTAGGAATTTTTATAACTAACTAGCTTCTGCCCACGACTTCGTACGCGCAATCCCGTTTTCTCCCGTTCCCGTTCCCGATTTTCAGAATTATTCTGTCTTAAGAACCTTCTTCTGACCACAGAAAATACAAAAAAAAAATTGTGAAATCGCTCCAACCGTTCTCATGTGATGGCGTGACCGTGGGATATAGAAAATCATTTTTATATATATGTAAAAATATTTTACAACTACTTAACCTATACTCAATATGAAGTGCTGTATGTGTAAATACCAGTATACAATATAAAGTAATTACACAGTACAATGTTGTACCTGCTTTAATTTAATAACTTAAGTATTCCTTAATTAAAAACACACCTACAATATGTCTATAAACCTGATAATTACTTACAAAGAGGTGTTTCCACATTCTTGTCTAATTAATATACCGTGAAAGGAAATTAATAAGCAATGAAGCAAAAATAAACTTTATTAGTACATACGGATCATTTAATTTGCCTCAGCATGTATTTCTACTTTATTTATCATGCGTTAATAAGCATATAGATCTATTAAATATTCGCCCTGGCTTTGCACGCTTATTAGTGTTTCTCTATTTATATTATGTATGTAAACTTTTCTCTTTAATTACTCTATATAAAAAAGATGTTACTAAAATTCGTTGTGTGGTTTTAAAGACCTAAGCATGCATAGGGACAAACAGAAAAAGCGACTTTGTTTTGATAATACTGTTTGGTGGTAATAGGGTATATAAATACTATAAAGCATTAAAGATTCATAGACTTAGAAATTCTAGTTTATTTTTAATTACTATTAACCCGTCGTGTGCCGGAACGCAGACCCCCGCGAGACACAATATATTTTCTATTGTTTCTTATATAGGTACCAGTCAAGAGGTTAAACAAATATAGAATTCTACAAAGTATATATTATTACTTTTTATTTACTCATTACATAACGACATGTTTTTTTATTTAATCCCCGAAAGTGCAGGTAGAGATGTACTTTACATTGTAACACGCATATTTTTCAGTATATACATATTAGTTATGTACCTAATAAGTCTTATTGTAGTCGGTTAAGCATATTCCCTATAAGTATAAGTACTAGGTACAATTCGAACTACGGCCTATTACTACGATTTTTTGAAAATTCAGAAAGATTATATTCAATATCATCAACATTTTAATATTTTCTTTTATTTCCTAATACATATTTTTCAATGTCATGAATAGGTATCGTATAATAAACGACAAATAAATGAAACTGTTATGACAACAGTAATTTTGACCACCCATTGTATAATCAAGTTACCTTTATTGTTTTTATGAAGGTTGTATACTACACATAAAGGGCCGAGTTGCGTGTAAAGTTACCTAAAGCTTAAATAAATAATGAATTAGGTAACTTTTGGGGTTTCTTTTCACGGAAGTTACGCAATTATTGAAACTTTAAATAATTATATATATTATTATTGTTTTTGTTATTTAACACAATACAATCTTTTACCATGTTTTTAATTTGGTCGAGTAGGTAGCAATAAAGCTTTTGTTTAGGCTAAGCTAAGTTTTAAAATGTTGTATGTAGGTACTACATAGGTATACATTTTCGAATATATCATGATAAAATAAATAATTAGTCGGTTATTTCAATACACCAAACACGGAAGTGTCATGCCTACGGCGGTATTTTGTCCGTCGCTAAAATTTTTGCGAGAGTTGTCGCTAGATATTTTGCATTTTTTTTATAATTTAACAATACATGTATGAAGGTTGGATTAATAACTTTTAATGTAGAAAATTAACTAACTATGTATTTATCATCTTTATTTTTAATAAGTATTACAAATTTTTACCTACATACGTCGTAAACAGTGCCTAAACCCTTTGAAAAAATTATGATGTTTATTTATAGGATAGGTTATAGGCGTACACGTATCCAACTAAAATAGAATATAAGCAAATACTTAATTAAATATAAATCCTGAATTAAGTTGTTAATTAGTTGTGTAATTCGGTTTTTTCATTCGCATCTCACATTCTGCCTGATAACATAACCTCGTGTTGCTGAGACGGACTATAAAATCTCCGAGTGTGATAATAAAAATGGCCACAACATTATATATATATATATCTTCTGAAACATCAGTCTTTTGCAAGTTTATTAGTAGAGTTAACGTGTGACTGATGAAGTAAATTAGGAGGAGTAGGATCTAACTAGGAATGAGGAAATGAAAGAACATACTCTGCGAATTGACGGCGTTTTATAGATCTCCTATTACTCAGAAAGATTTTTAACAAATTCGCAATTCAATTTGTGTACTAGAAAAGACAGTGCACCAACAACTTTTAGAAAAAAGTTCTTTTAGGATTGGTTATTGTGATGGTAATTCAATAATCAAATCAGGAATTTACATCTTCTTTTCAGTGTTGCACCTCTTGTTCTACACTTTCTCTCATTAAAATGTTAAAAATTACCTAAGACACATAATATTGCATGAAAAATGTTGCAGACATGAATTATTACCTATGGTATGTCCAAATGTTTACTAAACCTATTCAATCACAAAAAACAACAATTCCAGATACATGAGAATTTAGAAACCAAAATCTAAATATCAGCTTGCACGACCTGTTTATATAAAATAGGAGTAAAATAATAACATGGTCATAATCATAATATTACTAGGACTCGTATTAGTTTACATAGCCCAGTAGCTGTAGACGAGAGTAGTAATATTAAGATAATGGCATTGAAGTGTAAATGAGATTGAGGATACGAAATTATGCGCAATAAACTAAATACTAACTTTAATTTTATGTTCTGTGTAAAGAAACTCTAAAAATTGAAACGTACTGCCATTTCATAATTGTAGTTAACATTAGGAGTACTTCAGTCTAATACTTCTGCGATCATCCTCATATTTGTTGATGTTTTTAGAATACTTACGTACTAAAACCCAGTAAAAAAGATTTGTACTTACTACTGCGTGCGTTCATGTGTTAAAATGTGTATATGTATCTTCCTAAAGCCAAAAATGCCAGATCTGTAGCAAGAAAAACACAATTATAAACAAATCAAATTTCAAATTTCGCAATAGTGATAATATTCACTTCTCCGTAAACACACTATCTGCTTACCTATCTCTTAACCAATAAATAATCGAATTTATAAAAAGCTAAAGCGATCATGACTAATTCCTTAAAACTGTGGAAAAGTTCCTTAGACAGCTGCGAATTGTTACAAACTTACGTTTTACCGTTTCCGAACAGTAACAAAGCTTTTAATTTTAATGGATTAAGATGCAAAATGCTTTGACAGTTGATATTGATATGGAAAGGGTTAGTTTTGTAATCCTATTAGTTCATGAGCGTCTGTTGAGATGTGTCAACCCGTTGCTTTGTGATGATGCGACCACGCAGCGGGGAGTCTCGCAGATAATGTTGAGATTAGATGGAGATCTGAGGCAGGACATTGTCTAAGTCTCAGGTAAAGCGGCCTGTCCCACTCGACTGTGTTAAACAATACATAAACAACATTATTTTCAAATAATGCGATTATGTAGACGCCCACAAAAAATGTACAGTTGTATGTTGATTGACAGTACAACCTTACTGTTCGTAGGGAGTGACGTGGGATTACCTAACACACATAATTATTCTATTTGCTCACTCAATTTACTTTTTCGTAAGGAATATTTTGTATATATAAACTATTCTTTATTCTGTAATATGTTTGCTTGAGTTAAGTATATTATCTGTACTTAACACAAACAAACATATTATTACAGTATCGATAATTCAGGCAGACAGTTCTAGACGAATTATTTATGGGTAGTAATTGGCACGTTGTACTTAGTAGTTTTTGATGTTAAACAAAAAACTTATTTTGCCAGAATATTTAATAAGTGCCTTCGAATTAATTATAAAGGGATGTGAAGTTGGCAATAAAATGCCGATCGTTGCACGCTGTCTACGATGGAACAGGTTTTATCATTCATAAAACTATTTTCATAAATTATCGATGCTAAACCTCGGCCATAAAAGAGATTGGAGCGAGCCTAACAAATAAACTAAAATTAAATATACACGAATACAATCGAAATTTTTGTCTCAGGCGTATAAAAGTGTCCTATAAATTTACCCACAGTTTAATTTAATGTCCAAAAGTACCTGCTTCACATTTTTTTTTATTATAAATAAATGTTGGTCGCCGGTTATGGCCGCACGAATGTATGTTATTATTTTGAGAAATGGTTTTGAATTTGTCTCGGAAGGTTATGATACTTTAGAGCTCATTTTTTTACATTTTGCTCAGAACATTGGACCTTTTGAATATGTATTAGGTAGCAAGATTTTAATTACACTCTTTTCTCTTCAACAGGGCCCAAACCAGAGGAACTGATATACAAAGAGAGTGAAGATACCAGAGCAAGTGTATAGGCTGAATTCAGTTCCGCCTATCATCAGCAGCCTCGTTGAGCGTCGGTAACGACGCAGTTTCCAAAACCGTCATCAGCGGGGACAACCCCGCCGCGTGGATGGTGGCGGGCGAATGGGGCTATGCGCCGGCGTCGGCCACCCCCGCCATGAATGCCTTCCTCGAGACCAACCATGCACACCTGGCTTCCTATGGCCTGAAAATGTCTCCGCAACCAGGGTGCGGAGTGGGCGCGCAGCACCGCGCCGCTGCGCCACACCCGCCCCCTCCGCACCACCCGCCGCACTACCAGCCATACCCGCTGCACTCCTATCAGCCCGGGTACTTGCGCGAGTACAGCGGCTGTGGCGAGCTCTTCCCACAGCAGCCTCTGGAGCAGAGCTGGGACTGGCGAGGTGACGCCGTGCACTACCAGGGCGGTGCACCTCCCCTAGTGCCGCATGCGCATGCACACGCACCCCACGCCTTCCTACGATATGTGCGCGCGCCTCCTCGCCGTGACATGCGGTGTCAATGGCTCGATCCTGAACAACCGCCTCCAAGGAAATTGTGCAACAAACTTTTCTCAAGTATGCACGAGATCGTGACGCATCTGACAGTGGAGCATGTCGGCGGGCCCGAGTGTACCACGCACGCGTGTTTCTGGCAGGGCTGCTCGCGAAACGGTCGGCCCTTCAAAGCGAAATACAAATTGGTGAATCACATCCGCGTACACACTGGAGAGAAACCATTCCCCTGCCCCTTCCCCGGCTGTGGCAAAGTGTTTGCAAGATCTGAAAACCTCAAAATCCACAAAAGGACACACACCGGTAAGTTTCTTTTTCATATAACATTTCGACAACGAACTTTCATTATATCTTATGATAACAAAAGATACATGATACACTCGTCACTGGGAAGCAGGTACCATACCATGGTACATGATAAGTAAGTGTCTTAGAGTAAATTGATTCGTCACGGAGCAAACGAAGTGTTTCACATCCGGTAGTCGTGTAGTAAGATGTCAGATCCATTCAAGCGAGCGACCGTTGATCTGGCGAAACATTTCGATTCTCATTAATTCATAATGAACCGCCCCCCGCAGTCGGCAGCGCCTGCGGCTGACTGATGCCCACAGTTGCGATATATCGGAGCACGCCTCGACAATATCCGACCCGACACAATGACAGCTTGGACACAACAAACTATCAAAGAATATCCTTGTAACACGATCTCGAGCACAAACAACGGAGCTAACGGCCATCCTATAAATGTTCACGTCGACTTGTGAAGTCTATTTCCCAGTAAGCAAGGACAAAAAGCCATTTAACTAAGAAGTCCATTTTTCAATTCATTACAAAAGTCTAAAGATTCATCTGAACTGTGTATGTGAGATAAAAAAAATGCTCGTAAATTAAAATGTCCAGTTGGTGTGGCTGGGCGCTGGGCACCTCGTGTCTTGTCTCTGTCGCACGACGGACCATTGTTATTGGTAAAGTATTGGTACTTAACTTTAAATATCGATTTTTAAGGGAACGGTCCAGGAATTTGTATAGCGGGCGTCAGGGATGTAGCCAGCAGCTGGTTTTATGCGTTTTTTTTCATCTTCGTCTGTGCATAGTGTTGCATCCAGACTTTTGTCATGTGCCCCCGTCCTCTATTATCTCATACGGGCGTTTGAATAGACGAAACCTTTTTGTGGGGAACTTTGAAGAATTGTTTTATGGGTAGCTATAAATTATTCCGAAGGCTGACTAAGGCCATAGTTGGCCGGGGTCTGCTGTCGATCATTATGGATTTAATTAGCCCAGAGCAAATATCGAGGAGGTGAAACCTCTTCACCTTAAAATAGGTTAATAATGTATTTATGACCGACAGGCCACCCAATTTTAATAGCTCTTTAACAGCTTTTGAAATATTTTTAATCTTGGATATCGTTGGAATGTTAGGATAGCTGCTCGAACAACACATGTATTTTAAAATATCTTATATACATGCACGTGGTGTTGATTTTATCTAGGTTATTAATTTTTAAACTTACTACATAAAATACTGTTCGAATATACACTTACGAAGACATAGGTTATCCAAACAACAAATAGATACATATAATACATACTTACTTAGGGACAAGGTTATAAGTAAAAAACTTGATTAATTGGAAAGATATAACTAGGAGTAGAGTGTCGTCTATCATCATAAATGGAATACGCTAATGGAAAAAAGTATCTATGTATGGATAGATACTCTTATAAACTACTCATAGGCTCAATAAATATTTCGTTACTTAAATTAATTTCAAGTTCCACAATCGTAACATACTGAAATAACAAATACCACAATACTATGACAGCCTACGTAAACTGACACTCGGCTGATCGGTAGCCAGGTCTACTAAAATAAAAATATTAAGCGTTTCCTTATCGTGTATTATAGATGCAACAATAATTAGCCACAGAAGTAATTTGAGAACATTCCAGAACAGTAGTAGAAAGTTATAAAACATAAATAAAAGATATCAAATATATTTTATTTAAGTAGCCTCAGTAATCTGATACTTTGTTTATTAATACGTGTATTAAGATTCTAGGCATCTTTTGATATGACAGTCTATACTTCTATAGTTTCTTTCCCAATTTCATTTATAGTAATTCTATAAATCTATTCGGTATAGGTACCTTCTTAATTCCTTGTCCGTTAGATTCTACTCATTTTATCAATGTACAATCAGATTTCAGATCAGACTTCAAGAGGTGATGTCATAATACATTTTAAAATTCATTTTCTTAAATCATTTCGGACAAGTTTCAAATAACATTTGACTGTTTTGTCTTAATATCTATAAACAAAACAAAATCTGACACAGACCTTCCAAAAGCCCGAAACCAAATTCACAAGTTTAGCTATACTAAATAATGTGTTTGTGAAGATATTAATCATCCACGATTATTAAGGATTAAAATATTGCTGTTGAGTCAGGCGGCTGAATGTGTAGCGCGAGAACCTTGGGCCGGAGGGTACGACAGCACGCGTCGGTGTTACAACGCCGCCGGTGATTCCGCCCACTATCACCCAATCACTTATAATATACTTTAAATATCACTAAACACCTGTGCCAAATATTCACTTGATATATTCATTTGTATACAAACCATCAACAATACACCAGCACTAAGGAGCTATACACATATACATGCTGTATTTGTGTTTGACATCAAATATTAAATACAAACGTACATTCCGTGTTTTTATCGAGTATCACATTCGAAGTTATTATAACTAGCTACGTCTATATTGAAATATGGGCCATTTTAAAGTGTTATGCATTTTAATTTCTTACTTGCAGTGCGTTCTAATTTGCATTTGTTTATTCAATGAAAACATTTACATAAAATGAACTGGATAAATTGGAATCTATTAAATATGAAATGTAAACAAGCGTGCGCTAATAAATATATGTTTTATGCATTCATTCATGTATCGGGTGTAATAAACAGATATTGGCTGTAGTATATTAGTATTCAATAGTTTCTACATGGGTACTTCAGCAGTCGTTCGACGCGCTGCCACAAAGGGGAGGATACAATGAACGATGATATGATTCGAACCGGTGAAGACGTCCCCCGACCATCAAACGCAGTGCTCAGCTAATATGCCGTATAAAATGACGCTTTCAAAATATTTTGCAAACAATACGGAACCCTTCGTTTGTGTTGTGCCCTCGCCCCTGTGCCCGCGTCATTGTGCCCTGAGCTGTCGAGTGCAGCACTTGCGGGCCACAGTGCGCCAAACCAACGTGTAATACACTCGTCAACATCAAACACTTAATATGCTCATGTTACTGTTTCGTTTCGTACTTCATTATGTAAGACTACTGGACCAGTTTCTATGTACAAAGAATGCCCTATGAAAAACATTAGCTAAGTAAACGATGACTCAAGGATAAGCTAGGAGTAGCTATCAGTTATTGATAAATTTGTTTTAAAACTTAAAAACGTATGTAGTAATTCTGGAGTAAAGTCTTTATTAGTTTTAATGTTCCCACTTGATATGAGATAATATTCTTATGAAATACACATAGTATTAAATAGTACTTAGACAGATATTATTTTTTGATAGCTGCCTATTCAGATAGCTTTAAACCTGTAAATTGCATGTGCTAAATACATAAATCAATAAATAGGCACTTGTAAATAGCATCTAATTAGGTACTAAATGTTCTCAAATTACTTCATAGCAACGGAGAACTAAATTACTTGGTAATTAAAGTTAATTGAAATCGACACACTTAACTAGGCGATAAAATTTTATATATTATTTATGGAATTCTACTAATTGTTATAATAGGTAAGTATAGGTAATATAATATTTTTCTATTTGTCTGTTTTTGTCAATAGGACGAAATGATAAGTAATTATTCACGTTTAAATCATTCGTTATCAGACGAGTAAAAAGACAAAAGAATCATAACAGCTTACAGTATTCAGTTAGGTATTTTATATCATTAATGTTTAAAATGATACCTAGATAATTTCCTTAATTCTATCCAAAATAGAATAGACATCTACCCACCTAAGTACGTGGATCTATATTGTTACGTATATTCGGCCATTTTATGTCCATATGATAATGTTGTAACCCTATAATAGCTGGGAGCTTTTCAAAGGTGTTTATATGATCCGGGACCATCTGCCCCGGATTGATAAATTGTATAAAAAATGTTCCCAACATAATAGTGGATGCATTTGTGTGCGTTACCAGTCTGTACCAAGGGGGATTTAATGTTACCAGTATTTCTAAAACTTTATTTCATTGTCATTGGTCAACGAATAAAGTAATTAATTTTCGATGTTTTATTCTTTAGGGTTTTGTCCGATGTTACAAAACCTTTCTTATTATAATTGCTCTTGGTGTTTCTTTTTTTTAATAATGAAATCGTCGTGTACCCAAGACTTAATCTAACAGTTATTTAACCGAGAACAACAGCAAGTATTGTATAACATCTAAGTTTCGAAACTATTATTTCTTAGCGAAATTAATAGTGTCTAAAACACTGATTGAATTGAAACAAGCAATAATTTGATGGGCGTGGCCAGCCCTTGTCGGTAGCAACATTACAACCCTCGGTACGCACACTGACGCAACACATGCACACGTGCACAATATCCGTGTCGTGTACACACTTGCCATTGCTACCCCACACCACACCGAACCACTGATATTGTACACATGTAGACAATGAGAGCGTTAAGCGCTTTACTTTTTTATCTGTTTCAACTGAATAAATCCCCCCTTTGCGTTGACACGCCGGTGTTGAAGTGACTGCACTCAACGACACATATTACATATAATGTCCCTCTAAGCACACAAAACATTGAACATTGAAATTCTTAGTTTTTCTTGAATACACAACCTATCACAGCAGCGTCAATGAACCAGAAACAAGCCTTATCTTGATATTAAAAAATTGCGCGTCCAAGCAAAGACACATTTCACGAACTCAAGAATTCCAACGAACGTGAAAATTGTTTTTATCTTTTCGAGAATTTCGCTAAACGTCCAACAGATAGTGCGAAATGGCGAACAGGGTATCGGAGTGCGAACAAAAACACATTATCTGCACCACGATACGTGCATCGAGACGCATCGGTCGGCTATCGACGAGTTCCTTGCTGAATTCTATTAGACAGGATCGAATGCCTCCACATCGATCCGTATCAGGCATCACTAATTTGACCAATTTTATTAGTTTATAGACAAAAACACTAATTGGAACAGTTACAGATACTTTCAATCGGATCTCATGTTGTGTGAAGTGTACCTAAAACAT